TTACCAAAGTGACTGCACCAAAGCCAGCTGCTAATCCACTCCAATTTATTAAAGTGGGACCAGCTAGCTTGTATAAATCAGCTCAAGAACAACTCAAGAAAGTGGAGGAAATTAAGAAGGTGACAAAAGAAGTTCGGGATGAAGCAGAAGACTGGCAGTCTGTAAGTGATGCCCTTAAAATAAACTGTAATGAAATAATGAAATTGCTGATTTGTTTTGATATATACCTATTCTTAAACTGGGTTTTCTTAAAATAAACTGTACTTAAATAATGATTTTGCATATTTATTATCTTATGCATACACATTATTCTATGACATTTCTTTGTAAATTAAACTTAACTTATACATTAAAGTTAGCATAATGCAAGAATTAAACACTGAATTATTCTTATGTGTCACTGAAATTCAAATTCTAAAAAGAATGTGACATCACATATATTTTATATTATTTACTACAGACTGACTCAGTCATGATGTAAATATTTACCATGTACATGTACATATTTACATACCTACATATATACATACATAAATATGAGAGAGAGAATGTATGTGTGTGTGTAATGTCTTGGCCATAAGTATGCACTCTTGTCTCTCTTTAGAATTTAGATAACTGGAAGAGCAGTCGTCGGAAGCGACAGGAACACATTATTGAGCGAGTAGTAGAAGTAAAGAAGTTTGAAATGGAGGAATATGACCGAAATCGAAGACGAAGCAAAACATTCAGTGAGATGATGGAGGAACGGTAAATATCATAATTCCTTATCTAAATTCACTATTTTAATTAAATTTAATGCCTCGTTTAATTGAAATACATAATCATGTGGTTTAATGTAATGTGTTTTCCAAATCCAAAGCTTTCATTCCTTGTTTGTTGTACATATATGTGCACATGCACACTCAGCAATTTTATATGTATTTAATTTCAAATCTGCTGTTATTAATAGTTAAAATTGATTTTACTAGGAATTCCCGTGGACGAAAATCAAGCCTGGTGTTGTACAAAGATGATGATGCGAATGACCTTAGTGATTTGGGTATTGGTGCAAGTGACAAAAGCCTTATCAGTGAAGATTATGAGCATGTAAGTTAGAATAAAATACAGTTGACTTCCACTGCCATGATGGTTACAGTCATTGATGAAATATAATTCAGGTTCGGGGATTACATAATAATTCTGTTTATATCCATTGAACTCCCATACAAATATGCATTTTTCGTCCTTCCTTTTGTCTTTGTGAATAATGCATTAAATGCCTCACTGGGCTTAAAGCCAGATTTTAGAATTTTATAAGTCTGTGCAGTGAATAATGCATTAAATGCCTCACTGGCCTTAAAGCCAGATTTTAGACTTTTATAAGTCCGTGCCGACATGAATGTATTTAATAACTACATATTATTAAAAGAATAATATTTTTCATGCAATAGTACTGAAATAAATGTATGTATTTTACAGAATGAAAAAGAAGAAACTGACAGAAAGCTTCATGTGAATCAGAATGGCAAACAGGGTAAGAATGGTCATCATGATGATGATGCTTCTTCAGCAGCAACAGTTTCATCACCAGAACCTGAAGAATATACGTATGAAAGGGCAATCCAAGGCTATGTTAACTTTGCAGAGGCAAGAGTGAAATCAAGAACAGCTGTGACAAGAACTAATCTGAACAGCAGCATAGAACAACTTGAAAAGTCTCACATTTTGGAGTCTAGCCCAGAGAAGATGTCTAATGGACATCATACAAAGGGTCTGCCATCTCCTCCACATACACCACGAAGACAGTCTGGAGCAAAAATTGAGGAAAAACTGTCAGCATTGGAGAAAAGGAGGCACAGTTCTACAGAACTAAACAGTAATACAGTTAATGGTAAAAAGATGCCTATGGTTAAAGGAGATGTACTCAAAAGAAGGGAAATGTTTGAGAGAGCTTGTGAGCTCAGTGAGCAAGTATCAAAACCAGGTAGAAGACTTTTGGAAGGAAACCAAGACAGTCTGTCACATTCTACAAACAAGGACAAAGAGAAAGTCATGCTGAAGTCATCAGAAAACATTAATGGAAAGGATTCTGCACAACTGAGACACAGGTTTTCAAATGGTGATCTCTCTTCCACATCGTCTGTCCAAAAAAGACTGTCACAGTTAGAGAACAAAGGAGAGAATGAGCAGATGTCAGGTAATCTCTCACAATCGGTCAAGGAACGACTATCAAATCTCGACTCCGCATACAACAAAGATGGTCATATGAACAGTACGGCTGAGAAAGATCCCAGTTTACAAGCAAAGCTGACAAATCTCCACAGTACTGAAGAGAAAGCTTTCAATGGTATTGACAGTATTAAGGATCCAGGGGTAGGGTCTGTAAGGTCATCAAGTCCCGAAGAAGATGTTATTTATGAAACTAAGAGACAACAGTTTCATCGATCACTTGACAGTTTGGATGTGGAAGGTTCAACTGACGTTTGCAATGATGCCTTTGAGAGGGTCCAGAGCCTTGAGGATCTAGACTGTTGCAGACATGCAAGAAATTATCCTGCATCTGCTTCTTCCACTGAAATGCTAGTTTTCTCTTCTCAGAGTGGTGATACAGACAGAGATGACAGTGGCATTCATACAGCTGATGTGTCATGTTCAGTCAGCCAGGCTGATGAACCAGTAGATGATGGAGAAATCATAACCACAATTAATAGTGTAGTCCCACACCTTGAAACAAGCAGCAGTGGAGTGGATATATACCATCTTGAAGTTGAAATTGTGAATCAGAAACATTTGGGAAGCCAAAGAGCCGACCAGAAGTCCCCTGTTTCAGATCCATCACATAATTTCGCCGCAGATCCAACAGAAATGACCACGGCATTCTTGGATGTGAAAGGCAACTTGGGGTCACTAGCACCTGTGGTGGCAAAAGTGGGTGTGCAACAAGTACTGGACAGCAAAGGCAATTCTGTAAGTCCTCAACCTGATGCCCAAGTATCATCACCACCATCAACTTCATTAATGGTGGAAGAAAATTATAATTCAGTTGATGCTGAAGTCCCACAATGTTCAGAGCGCGCTGATGCCAGCATTACCAGTCTTGAATGTTGCTCCCTGGTGATGGAAATTCCTTTGGGTCATTCAAACACAATTAATGAGTTTTCATGTGTAGGTAGTGAAAATACAGCAGATTTCAGTAACACACTTACAAATGTAGCAGAACTAGTTAACAATTCTCTTGACTCAAAAAATCAGTGTTATATACAAAATGATAACGCAGCACTAACCTGTCTTCAGACTGTCCTACCTGAGCTATCAGAGCAAACATATGGGGTGGTGGAAACAGACAATAATGACTCTTCCATTCCACTCATCAAATCAGAAACTACTGAACAATTTCCCGAACACCTTCCTGTAGAAGATGCTTCCACTACAAATGTGGCCCGCATGAGAAACGAGGACCCTATTCCTTTCCAGAAAAAGGTTTTGGTGGCAGATAAAAGGAAAACAGTGGTGGAGGTGTGTGAGAAGATAATCATTGATGGCGGTGGTACAAATGGAGCTGTGAAGTCCCCACCTCCCACCCCCTACATCGAAGTACCTAACTCCAGGGTTATACCCTTCCAGGTTAGCTATGTGTCATATAAAATCAATCTTCACAGTTTTTACTCGTAATGTAAAATGCATGTTTTGGGTGCAGTTGGTGGTTGTTTTCCCGTTGAGCATGTAATAAATCTTTTACCATATGTAAATTATTCAGTTGGTAGGTGAGCTGTGCACATCTCTGTCAGTTAGATGAAGATTAGTTTAAAAGTTAAACTGAAGGTAAGGGAAATTCAGGGGCTGTGTCGTCGTCGTCGTCCCCCCCCCCCCCCCCCCCCCCACCATATCATTCAGTGAGTGCCCAAATGCCCTGGAGCTTGGACACCCACTGAACGATTTTGTTAATTACGTATGATGCATTGTAACAGACGCACCAATAATAACTGTAGGTTATGAACTGATTAAATTCCAACCTTGTGAAGGCTGCAATTGATAACCCAGATATGATTTAATTATCAGTTTATGTTGGAATCCATAGATTTGATGTCTGAGTTAACATCAGAAAAAATTGTCTGTGTGTATATATACATATCTGGTGACTGTTAAGAAGGGCTTAAGTCAACCATAAGTTCTGTTGACTTAAGCCCTTCTTACTCACTGCCTAAGAAATATAATCTGTCTTCCTTTCACGAGTACTAATTATAATCTACATGCAAAAGCAAGATAAGTTCATTGAATACTATCCCCTTATGTAAAGTGTACATTATCTTCCTGTTGTTAAGAAGACTGATGTGTACTTATGGATAAGCCATATCTGAAAATTAATCCCAAATACGTTATTAGTTCAAAGAACACAGTCAATGAATGTGGAGAACATTTAACTTGTTCTTAGAAATATTTTGTTCTAAAGATGCCTGAATGCATATATGAAGGGTGGGGTGTAGCAATTTTAATTTTTTACAAGAATAAAAATAAAATAGAGTTTCAACAAAACAATTCATATTTCCATTATTTATTCATTTTAGGAGCATGATCTTATTTTTATATCATGAAACATGGTGCCAGTAAGCAGTATTTATGCATAATGCTAGAAAAATATAGCCCCGGTGTAAGTTACATACATGTTAATTTCTAAATGGTGTAATTGTGTTTGCAGGAATATGCATTATATTCTCTTGACTAGCCAAAGATCAACTTTCTGTAATGTCCTTTGAAATAAGTGTTGTCTTTGGAAATTGAAAGTATAAGCAAAACTTGAAATATTCTAATTTCTGACATAGAAAAAATTCCTTTAATTTCAGCTAGATGTTGAAGCAGAAGATATCTTTCATTAGAAGGTTGTGGAAGTAAAGTAGTTTTGAAATTATTCTGTTGGTACTTATAATACATAAAACTATTTCACATACCTTATGGTTAAATTCTTCATATAAAACTATTCCTGCACACTAAAGTTTATTGTAGTAGTTTTGCAATAAATGCCATTTTATGAATGTGTACCATATCAATACTAATCTACCAGAACTAAACATCATACTTAAGTGGTTAGTTCTCCTGCATCATATTTGAGAGGTCCCAGGTTCAAATATCGGCTTGGAGACCAGCTTTCCTGAGGTTTTTGTGGTTTCCCTCAGTCCCTCCAGGCAAATGCCAGGATAGTACCTTAAATTAGGCCATCACCACTTCCTTCCTAATTCATTACTAATTGTCATCCTCTCATCCAGTGCTATTTAATATAGATACTAAAAGCTTCATTAAACAAGCTATAAATAAAACAAAATAGTCCACTAGATAACTACACAATGAAATTTGTAATGGTAACATTTTGTTAGTAATTTCTGGTACTGATCAGGATAACTTCAATTGCAATATTTCTATGTCAGGCTAAAAGTTAAAATTAAGTTTGTAGATATAAATAGAAATGACGTATAATTATGCTAAATTTTCACCATCATTGAGAAATCATTGTTTCTGATTATCACTGTGAAGAGCTTAAATTTTATATGATGGTGAATCGTACGTACAGGAAATTGATTTCTTCAAAATATTGAAGCATGTTGTAAAGCAATCAATAGCACTTGTGCTTATCAATGTGATGTTGTTTTCCAGGTTGATAAGTATATGAAATATAGCATAAGTTTCCTTTTTAAATTCTGATAAGCATTTAGGAGTTCAGTTTCTCTACTTGAGTGACAGAAATTCGGCACCATGTTATAAAAAACGTATAGCATATAACCATAATTGAGGTTTGTACGGAAGATTCTGGCACCTGTTATTTGCATTGCATTTCAGACTCCTTATCAGTTAAACCTTCAGCTTCAGTGATAATGTGTGAGATAATGAATTGGTAACAGTGGTCTGCTACACTTGTAAGGTATCTTAAGAGCAGATACATGCATCATTTTTAAGCAGTAACAGTATGGTAAAGGAAATTTCATTAGGTAAGGCCTGATATATTTAGTAAATTGTTAAATGAGTGAACTAACGTTTTTGTCATTTGCTCACAGGAACCTGAACAATTTAAACAAGAGATAATGCTGCTAAATTACATGGCAGGATGTGAAGAACATGATGTTTACAATGAAAAATGTGATGCTCAGCATAAATTAGAGGATGTCAACATACCGAATGTGAATGTAGAAAATGTAAAACAGGAAGGAAATTCTGCTTTAAAAAGTTGCAGTAATGTGAAACAGTTGCCTTCTTCAGAGAGCTTTACTCAAAATGTGCCTTCTGATGTGAAGGAAGAGGAGAAATCATCTGTCCTGGGCAGTTTACCCAGGAATTGTGACGAAGATGTTTTTCTGCCCATAACTACAATTCAGGTGAAATATTTTCTTCTGTTACAGTAATTTCTTTATGAGTATATGATGTAACCAGTTTTAATCCTTTATACGAAAGTTAACAACGGGAATGAAGGCAGGTGGCATGCAGAGAGAGAGAGAGAGGGAGTGACTGAGTGAAATACAAGTTGCTTATATCTCACACTTCACTTGTAAATTCTTGTGCTTTGGCAACAAAACAAAATTATTGCTAGTCGTGTGTAATAGTGAAAATCTTAAAGAACTGTAGGTGTGTACAATACACAGACTTTCACTGATATATTAATTAAAAAAATTAAATCCGTGGTGTAACAGCTCCAGAGAGCCAAAGCTGACTAGCTGGCCTGACGTTCACATGCCTAAGCAGAGGTGGACGATCATCCAACCAGATATAGGGTGACGTGTGGTCAGCACGACGGACCCCCAGCCATTGCTAGTTTTCATGACCGGATTACGCTACTCATTGTAGCTCCCCAATTTCCTCACGGTTCCATACACCGGTCGAAAGCTCATGAGAAATGTACTTCTCCCCCGAGACTCGAACCAGCGCGCATCCCGTATTGCCGGTCCGAAGCATGATGCCTCAGACCGCGCGGCTATGGCGCGGGACACTGATATATTAATACTTCTCCCTTTTCCTCCTAAGATGTTTACATAAAAAATTCACTGATAGTACATGGAACCTTGCTGATATACTAGGTTGTATAGTAAGAGTGGATATTAAAGGATCAAAGGATTAGAATGTAGATCAATGCAGAGGAGTTTGTATTGTGCAAGATATCTAATTTGAAGTGTTTGATTATTGTTGCTCTGACAGATCCCACCTCTGAACCTCTCAAGTGATGTTGAGATTGTGTCAGAACTTGCATTCCCTCTGGGACCCCCAACAAGCACAGAACCCCCTAAAGAGAAACCTCCACCGCCACCAACAGAACTCAGTGACGATGAAGTGCCTCCAGTAAGTTTTATGTTAATATGTGTGCTGTTAATATATGCAATTTTCAAGAAAGACCTTAGTCACCCAGAACATGTGAAATATTAAATTTCATGCAAAAGCCTATAGGAGAGGATTGCTTAATTTACAATGCACACAGAAATCTAACATTTCTTTGATTTCAGGTAATTTGTTTTGTTTGGCTGATTCTGGTTATTCAGTGAAACTAATTTGGCATTCATAAATTTACAAATAAAACTGCATATTTTTATATTTCAGGGTGAACGTATTTTGCCTTAAGTCATATATTCTTCCACAGTTACCGACTGTTCTGTTTTTATGGACAGCATATAGTTCAGCTATAAAATTTGGAAATTAGGAATTCAATTTTAAATTAAAATACTACAAGGCTATTATTGTTTTTTTCTCTTCTATGGGTTGAGTTCTTGTAATATTAAATGTTATGTTTATTAAATATCTTTCAGGTAACATCCCTAAAACGGCTGGATTCAACAAAACGTATCAAAAAGGAGATGTGGAGGAAACGTTCAGATTTCCTTGGTATTGAAGGTGGAAATGATGATAGTTACTTAGAACCAGGTATGTGTATGCCATTAGTAATACTCATTGTAACTACAAACATAAGTAAACAGAACTAATGCCTTCTGTGATCTACATCAGTGGTCCCCAACCTTTTTGTGCCTACGGGCACATTTGAGAGTTTATGAGATCGTGGCGGGCTCCAATCAATTAACAAAGCCAAATTTTCTTTTCTCTGGACAAACAAAATATGAACACCAAATAATACACAAGACAACACGACGTTTAATGATACAAGAAACCACGCAATCAAAAAATACGTAGTTTTATAAGTATAATTATTATTACTCAAGTGGGAAGTTTGGCACTGCATTTCATCGGCCAGTTTTTCAAATTTGGGAGTGTAGGATGATGTTGCTGCTCGCAAACAATCGTCAAGATGGGCGTCAGTAAGTTGAGATCTGTGCTTTGATTTTATAATGTTCGTGGTTGAACGGCCATCATTATTCAGTATAATCTCTTTCCGTATCAACGTGGGCACCCAAAAAAAGCCTTGGCGGGCGCCATGGCGTCCACGGGCACCACGTTGGGTACAACTGATCTACATTACTGACACTGTATGAGAAATGGATGTAACACTGGCTTCATAATATATTTTCATTCATTGCTTCCAATTCTAAAGTCCCACACTTTACCTAAAGTTTATGGTAACAGAAAATCTTATGTAATAAAAGCAGGGGTCATTCAAATTAAGGGGACCAAGATCACAGCATAACAAGTAGTTCTGCTTACCATCATTTGTTTCAGTCTACATCTACATGATATCATCAAGAATTATAACTTATTATTATATGATGAGATTTAAGGTTCAGCAACAAGTATGAAGTCTTCTGCTAGATAGTGAGTGACATTTTAGAGAAGCTTACTGCCTCCTTCATTAGGGTCATCATCTCTGAAATGTCTCCAGAAGGATTAGTTTACCTTAAACTTTATTTCATTTTAAAAGCCTGTGTAATAACTAAAACTTTATTCTCATTGGTTAATTTAATTATCTTTTGTTAACAGAGTTAAAAGTGGCTCCACCACCAGACATGACTACATTTCTTGTTGAGGAGAGAAGATCAGAACAACAGCTATACCGCCAGTCCATCTGCTCTGAGACAGACTCTAACCATGGAGAAACAACGGACAGTCGAGATTCTGGAGTTGAGTTAGAGAGAGCACATTCAGATGACTGGCTGGGAAAACTATCCTTAACACCAGACGTTTTATCAGCCCAACATAGCAGACAAAACAGTGATGTAAGCGTGAAATGGGACTTTTAACTTCTCCAATCATATTTTTTGTGATATAACATTTATCATACTGGAATAGGGGATCTGAACACTACAGTACTGCTGACCAGACTTTAAATGGTTTAGCATTATGTTACTGGGATTCATGTTTGACTAGATCAGACATGCGCTATGACATGCAGACATTACAGGTTTAATTAACACTAGACTGAAATTTTACCTTTTATTTTATATGGACATTAAGATCTATCAATATAAGGGAAGAACACAGATTGATTATGAGATGGGCAGGATGTGTAGCATATAAAATCTTAGAAATCTTGAAGTGACAAAATTATTGTTGCAGATTTATGGTACTGCTAGCATAACATCAGAAGAAGACGAAATAATGAAGAAAGAAAGAGAAATTATAGAGATTCTCGAAAAAGAAGAACAGTGGCAGTACAGAAATATCAAAACTTCTGAAGAAAAGGATATTGGTGAGTAAGAAGACAATAGTGTATGTATCTATTTACACAATGAAAAAAAGGATTTTCTTCTTGTTTTTCCAACATTATTCTTTGTATCCTTTTCTCATTCCCATGTATAATTGGACAATATGACTTCAGTTTAATTGTTATAGTATTTTCTCTTCATCCCTGTTTGTTAAATAAATTATAAATAAATAAACATTAAAGTCATACAGTATACTATGCTGTACTGTGAATCCAATGGCAAAAGAAACAGAGGTCATCACAGATAGAGTTTGATAGGACAATTCTTTGATGAAAATTATTAAGACTAGAATCCAATTACTTCAAGAAGAAATATACTAAGAAATCGTGGGAATATAGTTACCTAACCTTAAGCATCTGTCTACTGCCTGTTTGAAATATGGCTCACCATCTCAAAATATGCACTTACGACTTCCCATATACAGAAAGTCCCACATTAATTCAGAAGCCACCAACTAGCATGCACTAACTTATTCTGTATCATTACTGACTCCTTCCCAGTGGTTCACTTTCTGCTGTGTCAAGCGGTCATTGCAGATTCCATGAGCCTGTGTATTTTAATCTCCTCTTTATTTTATTGTGAATGTAATTTTGTTTTTTTTGTTCTCGAGTATTTTCATGTAAAAATGAAATTAGATAAATTTAACACCAACATATCTATCCTGTGGTGTCTGACATAGGTGGCATAACCAACATTTTAAAAATTTCTGGCATACTATATGGTATTACACGTTATTATATTATCCAACATAACACAATACATTCTCATAATGAGCACTCATTACAGGTGAAAAACTCACTGTAAAACTTCATCAGTTAGAGCAAGAAAAGATGAGACTTGAATGGGAGAGATTAGAAGAAGAAGAAAAGAGGCAGATGAAAGAAAATGCTTGTCGTGAAGAAGATCTACGACTCAGAGCCAAAGAACAGGAGTTGAAGCAACAAGAGGTAAATATCAATGAGTATTAAACTAGCTGCTTGAACGCTGATTGCTGTAAATAAAAAGTACAGGGCTTAGTAATGGTTGGCACAAATTTGTACATATGTACATACACATCTCTGACGCTGTTAAGTATTCAGCACTCTGTTGGAAACTGAATTGAAATCTGGGCTTCATCTTAACATATTTTTTCAAATAGAACTGCATTGAGATATGACTCATGAAGGGATATAATGAATTTTTCTCAGGCTACCACCCATGTAAGTTTGTTTAATAGAGAAAACACCATTTTGAGAACTATCTCCATTAAACCATCTAGCATTATTATCATCAAACTTTTATTTCCACTACATCCAAAACAGCTCTGGGGCCCACCCAGTCTCCCATTCATTGGGTACTGTGGGATATTTCCTGAGGGGTAAAGTTCTGACCATTCAAATTTATCCACTTCCAAGGTTAGAACTGTTTCATTATTTGTTGTCTTCAGGCAAATTGGTGTGTATCATGGTGCAGTAACAATACACTGTTTCAAGTATAATGATGATTACATCATGTGAATGTGAGACAGTCCCTAGTGTTAACTGATGTGCACTTCAATAAAATCCTCTCCAGCCATCAGCCAGGTGAAATAGTGAAAGTAAACGAACATTTAGGGAACCATCTTTGTCTCCATCATCAGGGATTTTATGTAAATGAGTACCACAAATAACTACTTGATTTGGCTTATGGACCAGGAGGATTCTGTTGAGTCTAAGTCACCATGAAATTTCAAATCATATGCTCTGCTCTTATTTCAGAGCTTAATTGCTAGTCCCAAGAAGAGACCTTCTGTCACAGGGAAAGAAGAACGAGTTACCTCAACCTCCGGGGTGAGGGTAATTTCTAAACTAAAAATACCGGCAATGTTTGCATCAAAGTAGATATACCTCTTTTGTGAATCAAGTGCTTTGTATATTTCCATTATCTGTGACTTTCTTGTGAATTTAGCTATGTATTGCTATTGTAAATATTGCATGCATGCCAGGTATTTTATACCTGCTTTGCTTCTGATTAAAAGGGATATGGAGCTATGTAGTGAGCAAACCTTTTTTTCTCTTTCTAACATTATTTCGTACTAACTGGCCTTGGTTAAATTTAGAAGTCAGATAATACTCTCACACTTCCATAATGTCATTATTATAGAATAAGTGATTAAAATTATGCAGCATACCTCAGATATAAAGTGTGAAGGTATTAAAATTTACTTTCATTAACAATCAACTTCACTGAATATTAGGAAATTTGACATATTACCTCATATATTTGAACCTGGGACCTCCAAAATATGAATCAGAACAGTTAACCATCCAACTATGATGTTCAGTTATATTATTATAAAAATTTCTGAATATTCCACCAAGATATTGGAACAAAACTTTGAGTCTGCATTTATACCATGGACATTAAGAGACACCAAGTGAGGATAGTTATACAAAACAAATAAAGAAGGAGTAGAAACAGATACAAGAGGAGTGGTTATAGGGGAATACAAAAGAACAGAAGAGACTTCGTCACAAGATGACCTATGTTGGTAGAAACATCACGAATGTTGATGATTTAAAGCACCAAAAAAAAGAAAAGCTTTCTTTTAAAGTCAGCTTTTTAATTGGTATACTAATAAATATTAAAAATAATTGATAATAAAATGTGTAAATAAAAGATTGTAAGCTTTAATCTATAAATGTTTCTGTCTTACTTACTGAGATATGTGAAATTATGACTTACTCAAACCCAGTCTTGATATATCTTACATGAAATGAAATAAGTAGTTCATGGTATTATATGGGCTTAGTAGAAATTTAATAGCACTAACAAACATTAAATAATGCAGGTAAAATAGCAGACAATAAAAACTAATGTAAGATACCTTATGTAAACCCTAGTTTTACACACACGCACACACAAAGTGTTTGTTTGTTTTATCATCACTACCAAGTTAAATTCTAGTACAGTGTAGCACTGAATTCAGGATCAGTTTTGAATCCCTTTGAACTGTTTTATAACCAACTTAGAGTTCAAACCTATCTTTATTCCTGTTATTTCTATATCACTGTATCAAGATCTGTAATACGTTATCCATATATTCCATAATCCATAAGATACAATCTGATGGATTGTGAAATATATTGTAGTTTACAATAAATTAACTTCACTAAATGAATAATTACATTTTAAAAATGGTTTCCTTCAGCACAAATACATGCCAGCAGGTGTTGCTTCAATGTCTAATGTTTTGATGCATATCAATTTTGTTTCTTATTGCAGCAGTGGCTTTATTTATGTGCTGTAATAACTGTTTCCTTGCTTCTAGCTTGCCAGTATGGTACACCTTAGACTTAATAAAACCCCATAATAAAACAGCAAAGTGGTCAAGTCTGGCACTTATGTTAATAACAGATGAATCACTGCCATTAGAAATTCAAATCCTACTTTATCAAACCTGTGGAGCTCGGATAGCTGTCAGTATAGTGACTAGCTATGGGCTGGACGATGGGTTCGATCCCCGAGGGGCAGAGGATTTTTCCTCTAGCCTCTGCGTTCAAACTGACTGAGCCTCCTTTCTGGGGGTAAAGCACAGCTGGGGCATGACGCTGACCACTCAACCCAATCTAGTACCAAGGTCAGAAATGAGTAGGAGCTATACCGCCGAGAGACCCCCCCCCCCCCCCCCCCCCCCCCCCCCAAACGACCTACATGGTGTGTAGTGGGATGGCTTTACTTTTTTTTAATTTATCAGACCGTTATTTACAAGACTTTCTTGCTTCAAGTAATCTGTAGAATATGATCCTGAATTCTGTCAATTACATGGTGGGACACTGTGTGTGTGCGCATGTTGGGGGTGTATGGGTGCACACATGTGAGTATATGTACACACAAATACATGTACATATCTGTCTAATAGTTCATCTTACACTATATCATGCATGCAATTCTGGTTGAACTTTGGGCTAGAAACTTCACATTATATACAGTATGCCAGCTTCCTTTAAAATGTGAATAAAACATTTTCAGCTTCTGCTTATATTCTTTTAACCAATTAAGGGTGTGCCACTTGTACAGTGGATATAATGTATCATTATATTATTAACATTTCATTACAGTCAGTCACGTATGTAGTGTAGAAGACAACATAAAGGTAAGAGTATGTTTCATGCTATTCTTGAAGTAGCCAACAAATTCTGAATTAATACAGATAATGATGAAATTTATAATCTGCAGGACTTTATTACCTGCCAGATACCTGTGATACGCATTTGAAATTTTGCTCAACTTCTCATATACCATACATCATTAACAGTATATCTTTCTTTTTCTGATTTTAATAAATACTTCATGTTATCTAGGCACTTTCAAGACAGACTAACTGGTTGCCATTCTCACCTACTGCTCCTTAAGAATTTTTTTTCAAGGTTTATAGTAATTAGCATACCTGAGTGATTTACAGATGAGTGTGGGAAAATGTCCAGCAAACATTTGGTACTATTTACACTATCACCAGCCTATAACCTATCTTTTCACAACACATACTTTGTAAACAGTGACTACTAGAACATTATCAGAAATATAATTATCACTACTAATCACTTATTCACTGTCACTGAGATCTGAATGACTGCCTGCAAATAGTTCGCAATTTACTTCAAAAAATATCCATTAGCAATCTCATTTTAAATTTGGTGTCTCTGCTCTTAGATGCCATCTGTACGTAATAAATTGAAACTGCCAAGAGTTCGAGAACTCAGTCGATAAGGCAGCATACTCATTGCCGACTTTACATATTACCCTAAGACACTTAGTCCCCTGTTAACTTATAAACCCATTGACGGATTATTTTGAGACTGGGTATGCACATTCTGCCACTATACACCAACACATCTTTGTAATATTCATCTTCCTACCAATATGCTGCCTCCATCTTCAGGGTGTTATAATCTTCAAAACCACAATTCCATCAGATCAAAGCTATCAAATCATGGATGAATTCTGGATATAAAATTGATTCATTTCTACTTCAGTCCTAATAGTGTGTAACTTAATTAACATATATCCTATCAGGGACTAGTTCATTCTAAAAATAATACAAAATTATGCCATTTTACAATCTTTAAAAATGTCAGATAAGAAAATCATCTTTATAATAAACCTGATTCGCACCAGACAAGATCTGATGATACCTGATTTGCTTGAAATACCTTAATCTGTATGGGGACACCAATAGAAATTTCTTGTTAAGATTATACATTTATACAGAACTATACATTTTAGTAATCCAGCTTTGTGTATAAGTTCCACTAGTGACATCCTGTCATGTTTGTAAAAAAATAATTTAAAATTTATAGGCACATTTGTGACTTCTATACAAAATTTTAGACAGCATTAATGATGTTGCATATTTTCAAGATCTTTATTATTAAATAAACTATCAGCATCCTATGTTACCAATGACATTAATGCCATCTCATTAGATGTGCTGTTGGTATTATAGGCAATGGGGGATTGAAAATACAAGGAGGTTTCTAATGATGCTCAAGCCAAGTTCTGTGAGTATCTGTCAGTTGGCTGTAAAGTCATCAGGGAGCACAGATACATAGGACAAGATGGTAGCATAAGTAAGGAAAGTAGACTAAGGTAGAGGATACATGTAATTGATATCATAAACCAAATTTTATTTGCCTGGAAAGTACTTAGAATGTTAAAAGAAAACAAATATTCCCGACATATAGGAAGCTCTGCGAGCAGAACGGGAAAGGTTACAGAGAGAAAGTGAAGAACTGCAAAGACAGAAAGAGACATTACAACTTCGTGAAAGTCAGCAACTTCGACACAATCTCTCACAGATGCAGCAACACTGGGGTAGCACAACTGCTTTGCCACATCAACAGTGGGGTACTGAAACTACTGGTTTACCCCCAACACATCTGTCCCTGCAAGACATATCTATGGCTCCAACTGGAAATATCAACTCATATCATCCTCCAACATCACCTATGGCTCAGTCATCTGCTCCTCTCAACTACAGATTGTCTCTACCAGACCTACAACATGAAGAGCAATTGCAGAGTCAGCAGCTGCTTATCAGACCAGGTTCCATGATGCCTGCACCAACTCGTCGACCGCCACCCCCCATCCCTCCAGCAAAGCCTCTGCGAGCCGTCAGCCAAGAACAGAAGGAAAGAGAAAACAGTATCAGGTGGGTCTTCATTCAGATAAAGCACCGATCTCAACATTTTTGTTTAAGCATAGTTCTGATAATCATGGTGGTGGTGGTGATGATGATGAAATAAAACAGCTGACGCTTACCCTCTTAGTACATAATCAGTCATATGTAAAGTCTAAATCTAATGCCTACTGGGATGACTGGCTTTTAACAAGAAAAATACTGGCATACATCCATTCCACAAATGGAATTCAGACATAATCTAATGGTTTTAAAGGTCTGAGATATGTTAACGAGTCCAAAAACATGCTTACATCTACACATACTATATAAATTCATCTACACTGTAACCTTTAACAAATTACAGGAAACACCAACTACTTAACCCTATTTATGCACATTTACAACTAAAAGTTTCAAAAATGTGCCCATCAGCTACACTCTTTATACCTGTCTGATCATTTGTCTTTTTGGTCATCTGTATATAACTCAAGAAAACATTCATGGATTTTCATTAAATTTGTTACTAGGGAGTTTTGCTAAAATTTGTTATCACATTCCAGGTTTGGTTAAAGTGGACAAAAATAACAGACATGTCACATGAAGACCTACAAGTGTCTCTGTCCACAGAAATGCCAGTGGGGAAATCTCCAGCTGTCTTAAGACAATTCTGACATTATTGCACCATCTGCAAAGGTCAAATTTTGGCAAATGTTTCAGTATTTTTACACAATGCATAAAATAAATAAATAAATCCGTGGCATAACAGCTCCAGAGAGCCAAAGCCAACTAACTTGACTGCTGGCCTCACGTTCACATGCCTAAGCAGAGGTGAACAATCATCCAACCAGATATAGGGTGACGTGTGGTCAGCACGACGAACCCCCAGCCACTGCTAGCTTTCATGACCGGATTACGCTACTCATAATAGCTCCCCAATTTCCTCACGATGCTGGGTTGGCACCGGTCCCACACACGGTCGAAAGCTCATGAGAAAATTTCTTCTCCCCCGAGACTCGAACCAGCGCGCATCCCGTATTGCCGGTCCGAAGCATGATGCCTCAGACCGCGCGGCTATGGCATACCACTTCCTAATTTGTTTCAGTACAAATAATACCATTAGTAAATATTAAAATTCCTGTGTAAGTGTTTCTGGGTGGCTGAGTATCAAATTCTGTGTAAATTGTTGTAAACCACAGCCGACATCATATTTTGCATGAATTTAAATTAAAATCCATAACAGCTAAATTTCCGGTAATTGCAAGCTATTAAATACGGATCATTTAGTCACTTTGTTGAGAAAGAAAAATAAGGATAATGACAGTTTGTCTTCTTACAGATACATGTCAGTTTCATTACCTCACAAAAATGACTTGATTTACAGGAACAGTCGCATGCCATCAGCAGACTCAATTCCACAGAATGTGGATTCAACCAATGTCCACAACAGTTCTGTACCAGCTCACACAGGAGCCCAACCAATCAGCAGGCAGACCCTTCAGGCTCTAAGTGCTGTTCCAAGATCTCGTTTCATATCTAATGATATGTGGATGCAAGCCAAAAAGAAACCTGAGAACCAGCGCAGTGGTGGAAGAGAGTCCACTTACAATTATCAACATTGGCTGATACAGGTCTGTCTGTCAGTTTCCCTCCACATAGGCACATTGCTGACAGTCATTCTAAGGATATAATTTACATTATGGAATAAGTCTTTCAAACACTGAGACATGCCTTACACACTTCACAAAAATGTGTTTCAAAGACAAATACCTTGGATAAGTAATGTAGAACCATCACCATCTGTACATATACAAAACAAGCAAAATTGTCATCTATTGATCCAGGATGTAGTGAGTATTTTAATAGATTATTTTTTTGTGGTTGTATATTAGCAGTAATTTTGACCTTTACTGTAAAATTATTGCTCCAGGAAGCTGAACATCGTCGTATAACTGAACAGCAACAGAGGACTGCTGTGTCACCTAGAAAACCCTCTCCCCCTCATTCACAGCCGCATACACCATTGTGGAATACGCCCCAACCCCAGCCACGACAGGAGAAACCCCTACCAGATGCCATCATCCAGACACTGACACAAAGAGTTCAGAACAGAGTTGGAATGCTTGACAATAAAAGCTCTGTCTCTGGCAGAAGAAGGTACATTTATCACATATAAAGCAAAAGAGTGTATTAACTTTTATATAATCAAAATCTTTCAATCTCCCTGCCTGCTATATAAAATCTAAGATTACAATATAAAGAATTATAATTTTATAAGTTGTTTTGTATGGATGTGAAACTTGATCTCTCACCCTAAGGGAAGAGCACAGATTAAGCATTGAAATAATATTAAAACAGAGCTGAAAGAAATTAGTAATGAGGATGTGAACTGGATTCATAAAATCCTTTCATTAGCAAATGAATCATAAAAGAAACATAAAAAGACTTGCCACATTACATTGCTTTTAATACCATTTGTACTATTAGCAAACATATTTAACAGACAATAAAGCCAAATCCTGTATAATTCATGATGATGAAATACTGTTTAACACAGGCTTGAAGACACTTCAAGCAGAGAATCACAGTCCCAGGCTCCAGCTGCTGGACACATGCCAAATAATGGTTCAACTCCAAGTAGCAACTCTGCAGTTACCTGCGGAGATTCTCAGGAGAAGATGCTAAGTGTTAGTGGTAAAAAGAAATGTTCACACTGTGGAGAAGAACTGGGTAAGTTCCCAAAAGATTCCCAATTAACATTCATTTTATGGGAGAAGACACTTAAACCCACAGAAGCTAAGAATCAGGTGATGCTCCCATATGCATTAAGCCTACTCCAGAACATCACCATCTTTCATATATTTTTTTCTTTTTATGCTTAATACATTTATTGCTCCCACTATTACAGCTGATTGATGTTTAGGTTATGTTATAGCACTTTTTCAACTACATAGGTTACAGAGACTACATATTTGAATATTTTTAATTTAGAGTATCATTCATAATGTCACATACGCATAGCACATTTATACTTTTTTCAGGTCGTGGTGCGGCAATGATCATTGAAAGCCTGAGGCTCTTTTACCACATTGACTGTTTCAAATGCTGTGTTTGTCATGTTCAGTTGGGTGATGGACTTATGGGAACTGATGTTCGAGTTAGGAACAACAAATTGCACTGTCATAATTGTTACTCTAGTGATGATGGTAAGCATTTATGATTTGTAGATATAGTCCAGAATCTGAGCATGTCACACACACAGGTTGTTATAAACTCATTTATATAGAACTTCTAACTAAAACTACAAATTAAACTTATGCCAATGCATGCAATATATACCAAAATTTATTATTGTTATTATTATTTAGTACTGTGGTAGTCACTTGACTGTGCATTGTTCCACTTATGAAAATCCTTGATGAGATACTGTTGTAAAAAAACTTTCAGACAAAACTTCACAATGTGTTTGTATTATTAACCAACTGATTCCTATATATTTTTTCCAGGAGTGAAGTTCAGTTGTGTATAAACACTAAAGTTGACAAGTGTACACATAGCAAGACTTCATAATGCCTTTGTATTATCAACCAAGTGACAACAAAAATGGTGGATAGTGCCATCTTTACTTGAGGGAAATAATTACTGTAAACAAGTGAAACTATGTAATGTGATGGTTTATAACATAAACAATGTACAGTACATAATTAGTAGCATGTACAATATAGTTTATAAACATAAGTTGGTCAGAATGTGGTTCAATTTGCAGCATTTTATTCTGAAAGATGTCAGTATTTGAAGTGTTAGGTCTTGAAATTCAAAGCTATAATTTTTACCAAATAAGAATACACCTCTCTGGAATGTAGAGTTCATATTATAGTTGTGATTCATGTTGTTGTCTCTGTATTATCGATAAATTCAACAACAGTATGAATTTACTAGACCATATATAGTATACAGCTGCATTCAGATTCATATAGTAATGTGCTGTACAGAATGCAAGTGAAAGAAGTATGTTTACACTCTACTCCTTATGGGACAAGAGGAAGAGGTTGCACTACGTAATCAAATGACCAAAAGTGGTGGCATTTTGTGCCTATAAATCCTGCATTATGGATCATATATCTTTATGTACATGAAGAATATATTACATTGCTCATCAATTAGTCTTAGCTCTGTAGTACATATGACCATATAAATTGTACATGCTGCACATAATAAACTCACATCACAAAATAAATGTTAAAAATATAAAAAAATAAGAACTCTCATTTAATTTTGAAATATGAAAGATATAAGAAATCTTGTTTAATATGAATACCAACATAGATCTGGGGAGGAAATATCTGTAATAACAAATATACTGCCTGACAGTAATACATTATGTATAGGTGATTCTCATTATGCATGTTCCAATTTCCATATTTTTACATACCTGTGATTTTATTTCAATACATGCAGAGCATTAATGTCCTATCTGTGGCCATGGTAGAAGCTACATGCAGTTTCACTGTCTCCCCCCAGCATTTTGACTCCAGGGACTACAAATTAAGGGATCTTATGGTGTACCACTCTACAAATCCAGTCATTTACACATTTCCAATTTAATGTCTCTTTGATGTACACAGTGATTCGCAGGAACACAACCACTATGTATAATGAGAGTCACTTCTAGTATAAAGGAACTGAAAAGAATGGAGACTAAAATAATTTGGAGATAAAAAAGGATAATCATACAACTTTGATAATCTTCATACTTGTTGGCTACCACTGTGTTACCACTTAAAGGACCTCCATGGAACATATTTCTGCGCATGAAAATTAAGTTAAATTTTCATACGCATAGATTAAGTTGAATGCATATGTACCAGCATGAAAAGATATATCTATTGTACAAATCAGTAATGTAATTAATTCAACATATTTAGTAGTGTGAATTAACAGGAAATTAAGATACATATCACACGTTATATAAAATAGTACAATTATGAAACATGGCAATGTCTGATTAATTCTGAGCCTCTATTTTAGTTGTCTTCAAAATAACAATTTGAATATGTCAACAGTGTTATATTTATGACTTAAATATATTCTAATTAAGATTTAATCCTTCTGGCAAATTACACTGTTTCTTACAATTACTTCCAAAAATGAACTTCATCACGTAATATATCTACTCTTCATGCATTTGACTAGAAGATCCTTACACTATATTTGCTGGAGCTTGAATTTTTTTTTCTAATTTGCATCGCTACACTCTTTGGCAATTTGTACATTTGTATTATAAGTATATTGTATTATGTTGTATTTACATGGCTTATATTCTGGAAAGATGTAATCCAAAACATGTACTACATTAAATAAATTTAAGTCCAGGAAAGGGAGCAGTTGTATAAATTTACAATATTTTGTTTTTTATGTAGAATTTAGATTTTCCAAAGATATAGTATATCAAATACTCTGGTATAAAACATTCATTTTGTTAATTTGCACAAACATTAAACCTTGCAGGGCCATTTTCCAAAAATCCTATGTACTGAGGAGTATAGATTTAAATACTTTAAAAGTGAAACATTCATACATCCTACTACTTTTAACATAGACTTTCAACTCTGCTGCCTGGCGGTAGATAAGAGCAGCAAGCTGAAATAGGAAAGTTGGAAATGGAAGACGGAATCAATGATGGTACATTACGCTACATTTTTTACCACTTACCTAATCAATCTTGGTACTGCAAAGATTAATGACCTAGAATAACAGGTGTATAAAAGAAAGAATGAAAAAATATTTGGAGGATAGATATGTGAATAAATTTTTATTATGCAAAGGTAACTATTTTATAGTGCAATATTGTTCTGGATACATATATGGATACTTGTGCTTTAACACAAATACTGCACTTTTCAGGCTATTGCACATTTGTCATTACAAACCTTGCAGCAAAACAGAAATATTTTAAAAAGTCGCCTGCATAGTGGCCTTATTTGGATGAGACATTACACCTTACAGAGAAAGCTGGTCATACCTACCTTGCTGTCATGAATAGGCATTTGAAGTGGCCTGAAGTTCGAATCATGCTGCAAATCACTATAGAAGCTGTCTGCAGAACCTTGAAATCTGTATTCACTTGCTGAGGTATACCCAAAGAGGTCATAAGCAATAATGGACCTCCATACTGGTCCACAGCTTTTTACTGCAAACAGTCACCCACATACCTATGCCAGTCTATCATCAAGCCTCAAAGGACACAGCTGAACATATGATTTGCAACCTGAAGACTACTTTCATTAATCAAATATGAGAACACCATTCAACAGTCTTTGTAATGCTTTCTGCTTTTTATGAGGATTTCTGAAATCAGCAACCATATTTTGATATTCCTCTATCAAGATCTCAGTCATTCCATGTGTCCAGGACATTTTATACGTTTCTGCCAAGAAATAAAGTATCTTCCTTAATGACCATAAATATACCATCATCACTACAAAATATGTTTAAGGGTAGATAAAAAAAACAACAGCAAGGCACGTAACAATTACATAAAAACAATGTTTTTAAAACAATTGCTAACAGTAGCTGTCAACTTACCTTTCTTCCAACATGTCAGAAGAAGAAGTCAGCCTTTGTCACCTCCATCATGTGACCATACAAATTTACAATTTTTGTTGCACAATGAGGTATGACTATTTGAGAACTTTCCTGTATAGTGTCAGAATACAGATTCTAAATAGAAGCAAATTACATTTTCAAGCAAAACTTCAGAAACAAGAAGGCCAAATTTACAATGACAAAAATCTGTTCATACATTCTCTTCTTCCTGCCCAGCTTCATACTAATGAAGCTGAATGGTATTTTATGACAAATTCCAAGAATTTCTTCTATGAGAAACTGTTTTGTGAAAAATAACTAAAGATACAAAAATTGGAACAGGAAATCAAGTAATAGTCCACACCATGTTAAAGAAATGTAGAGATTACAAATCTGCCAGAATTATTATATTTAGTTCATAAACTACTACTTTCCAGTCTTTATTTTGCAGCTCTTTGTAACAGAATACAAACCTAGAGAATCATCCGGTGAATATACATTAAACTTTGCTGAAATTTTCCAGCTTTACTGTTTTGTAACAGTTAATGCTGGAAACATAAATGAAAGGAATACTGTGATAGTTTACCGGGGTTGTTAGTGACGTTCAACCAGAAACCATATACACAATACATTTTAAACATTGGAAAAACACTACATTACAAAACATTTTGCTGTACTTTACATAGCAACATATAGTCCAAAAATAATGTGAATATTTATGTTCATCGTTAAGGAGATAGGTTATGTAATTACCTTTCTCCGTTGTTAATACTGAATATCCTTCCATTTCAAAATGTAATATTTCAGAGCTCACATAAACATCAACCGTTGAAATCTGCTGAAAATGTTGCGCACAACAGCTTTCGAGTCTTCGTTACGTAAATTAAAAATATATGCAAATATTGAAACATTTTAAACATACAATTTCATGGACCGCCATAGCACTGTAATTTTCCATACAAATTCATCAAATTTAGTAATTCACCATCTACATTAAAACTGGTAGCCATAATACCCAATGAATTCTCAACTATCGACTAATGACAACAACACAGATCACTCTAACGTCGTGAACCACGAATCACATTTCTGTAGATTCGTAACGTAGAGTCAAGCACAGCCATCTGTCCACGAAATAATGATAATATAACGGAGGAGAGATATTTGCGTCGCTGATCAACCGGTGACAAGGTAACTACTCTTCAACCTAAACGTTTTTCGTTTCCAATTCCAACTCGACGATTTTGAAACCCTGATATTGGAGACGGTTTTATTCCATCCTTTGGACAACAGTCCGGAAAAGGAATTGTGCAACAAATATTTCATGTATATCATAACAAAATCTCCTAGTTGAATACTAGACCACTGTCATCAATACCACAGGTACAAAATGTTTCTAAGTCACATAAATTTAGATAGCATGCAAAATACTGAAAATTTTAAGAACCTTATTCACACATTTAACAGCTACACAAAAGAAAAAAAATAATGTATTACACAGTTGCTATTTATAAAATGCAACTAAGGGGCAAATCAAAATTGGCAGCAGAATAAATCATTGAATTCCTCGAACAATAATGCAGTTATAGCCTGCTACACTTATAGTATCTCACAGTAATGTCACATTTAATCTGTACAATAACCCAAAAACGTTGTATGACTTTCATCTGTTTTTCAAACAGTCTGCAAACAAATATTTGGTGTTTCCTGTTTCTCATGTAAATGGAAAGCAAGAAACAATTCTTGTAAGTGTTTCCAAAAAAGGCATCAGTCTACCATAAGCTGCCACCAAGGCAAGTGCTCAGAATGTGGACCAGCAAAAATTATTGAAGCTTGTGTTTTCCATTCAATAATTTGTAGCAGCACTTCAAAATTGGTTGGTGTCGTTCTGAAAAAAATTCTAAAGCTACCCCATCTTCCACTTCTAAATCTGCCAAAAGATTATCTCCATACCTCATTCCTTTTTCAAGGAAGTGGCTGGTCCACCATCATCGACTATTTCTTTGTCCCCACCTTTCATTAAACAGAAATATAATAACCAGCACAAATTCCAGCCACGACATGATGTTTTCAACTAGCTTGTCTCAATACAAAAGTATCTGTGAACTGTCTCTAACAGTCAGCAAACTACTTTCAGACACTGCTTGCTGACAGTGTTTGTAGTAATGTACAAGCCTTAATGGGTCCACAAAGCAGGAATACTGTCCTTTATGAACAATAAACAAAGATTTTTTTTATTCAACACTAGTTTTAAGTTGACTATTGGCCATTAATTCATGATCAGACCATTCATGTGGCAAGTTCTGTGTAGTTAAGTGAATCTTTAAACAAAGAAAATCGAACATAACATTTCTAAGCTACAAACTTCTAGAACCACAAGAAAGCTATAGTTTTTTTCAGCTTCTCCTGGTGAATGCATGAATAGTGCCTTCAATAGACCATAACTGCCTTCTTCCAAATCATATGTTATTGCAGTTGGCATGCCTACATGTTTATTTGTGCATTCAGCAAAAACATCTCATATAGGATTTGCTGGTTGGGCCATGTCCAGTGAGCTTCAAATTTTCTGATAATAATTTGACTTCCTGTGATCCATCTTGTTGCATCACAACATCTACAAGGAACCTGTAACATATCACAAAAGTTATAAATTTTATAATTTATACATAAAAACCAGTATTCAATTCTGTTTCTGTGATATTAAATTTTGTAGTTGGGTATGAATATATGTCAGAAAATTTGTAACACATTACTAATATGGATAAAGCTAAAGTTGTGCTTATAAACTATACCATGAAGATACATGGCAGAGTGAAGAGCTATATGCTCTTGGTGCTTTAAACCCAAGGAAAGAGTCTGTTGTATCCATTTGATAGGAGGCTAAACAATTAATTCTGCAGAATTTGTAAAATTAGACTTCAGTCATAGGTGTTGATGGTGCTTAACACATTTATTTTACTACTTGGTCTCTTTGAAACACAAGTAATTTATTCCAAATAACTTCTCACACATTATAAACTTTTAAATACAAAATAAATACATATATAAATGTATCTGATTACTGGAATAGTTTCTCAATTGAAATAATTCCTCACTTCATGGAATCATCCACCATAAGCCCTTCTTTCACTGATGTTTCTGTCCAGCCGATAAAATTGTGTTCCTTGTAAAGATCCTCAATTTCCATTTGGTCAACTTGACGGTATGGTAAGTCACACTGGAAAGGAAAAAGGAAGAGATTATAGAACATGCCAAGTGTGACGACATGACTGTTCACAGATCAGAGCCCAATATTGAGTTGTTGAGTTTATGCATTCCTTGCGCACATTGCATTAAATGAATGTACAAAGTATAATGGGGAGATTAAGTCTACTGCTTCATCTGTATGCTTCAAGTCCAGAAGGGCTTCAGGCATCTCATTCCTTTGGTTTTATGGTCTAAAATTTTGGTTAGGACTAAGTCAGTCTTTGTATCTTACCAAATGTCTTGGTTCCTTTTATAGACTTTTGACTTATGTTTTGCAGTACCGATGCACATCGTGAACTTAATTTCAGCAGCTTTGAATCCAGTATCAACCCTGTATTCTTTGTTTTTGGTCACAATTTTCTTGTTACATCTCTGCCTTTAAATGCCATTGAAATGTAGGATTTAAGAGGTTAAAGGAAACAGCATATTAATAATAGCTTTACATAAAGTAGTTGTAATATGAAAGCTAATTAAGCTTTATTTTTGTAATTCCTACCTTATTTGCTAGGAGTATGCAAGGAATTGGCTTGCCATCTGGACGAGTACATTTTGAGTCGACATCTATTTTCCATTTACGCGTGTTTATGAAAGAGTTCTTGTTTGTCAAATCAAACATTATGACACAACCATGACAATCCTTGTAGTATACTCTTGTCATCCATGTGAATCTCTCTTGACCTGTTGGTAAAAACAATTGACTCAAAACTTGAAAATACAAGTATTATGGAGGTTGCTATGTTTGTTTTTGCTGTAAAAATTGGACCTGTTTCTGTAAGGAATAAATCATGGCTTAAACACCACTGTCCCATGTATGGCCTGTTTCAGTTCAGTGCCAAAATATTTTAAATTTGGAAATAATAAGAACTTCACTTGAAATCATATCATCTGTCACTCAACATGAGAATTCATTGATTACCATTGTTACAAATGTATTATAATCATTTACATTTCATACCTTTCACATATCATTAATTGTTATTGTGTAAAACCTGCATCAGACTTCAGGGAATCATTGAAATGGAACAAAGATTTCCTGTGAAATAAATTATTTCATCCTCATCTGAAATCATAAAATAAAACTTACCAGCAATATCCCAGAGTTGTAATCTTACAGTTTGTGTTTCAGACAATTTCACAATTTTCAGTGCAAAATCAACACCCACTGTCCCTTTATAATTCTTATTGAATGAATTCTGAACGTAACGTTGAACAAATGACGTCTTCCCAACTGTAGGATCTCCGATGACAATTATTTTATAAAGTTTCTGTGTTGTAAGTTTAGATTCTGAAAAGAAAGACTCCATTATAGTTTCAGACTTTGGTACCATCAGCCAACTTACTAATTCTTTATGCAGGGTATTTCTTGACAAATTAATAATCACTAAATTGGTCAATTAATTACAGTGCCTATTATAGAACTTTAAGGTCTATTAAGGTGTTAACAGGAACCTGTCCCAATTCAGTTGAATTCAGCCCACATCCTCATAATCTACTTCATTATAACATATTTAAAAATATCATCCCACCTATTCCTAGATCTACCAAATTTTGTCTTACCTTCAGGTTTTCAAACTAAAATTTTTCTTCTTCCTTATGCATGTTACATATTCTACTCATCTTTCATTCCTGTATCTTTCTAAGAATATTTTATGAATATGACAAATTTTGAAGTTCATGATTATGTCATTCTCTCCATTGTCCTGTTCCACTTCCTTTGTGTTAGATTCCAAATATTCTTACTACTCTCGTCTGAAACACCCTCAATATGTGTTCTTCCCTAAAGGTATGATACCATAGATAAAATAGTATATAAAATTAATATCTTTATCTTTCATTCTTTATATGTTTAGCCAGAACACAGGAAGATAACGGATTCTAAACTGAATGGTAGGAAACCTATTTGTGCACTCACACAAACCTTGCTCTGCATATCATTACTAAAGTTAAAAATTTGTTAGTTTTAAACTAACAGTTCGCCTGTAAAAAAAGCAGTTAGGTACAGGTAACAGGGTGATAGAGAACCGATAGTTTTAAATTGTAGTGACCGAGAACCGGTAGTTTTAAATTGTAGTGACCATTTTCTTTGTGAAACATTATTAGCAAATGGTGTTTTCCAAGTTGCCATTAACAGTATTCTGAAACCAAATTGTAAGCATTATCCCAACAAACCCAAACATTTCTAAATTTCAGGCAGGTATCAATTTAACACATGTTCCTACTTCCAGATATAATAAATATATTGCACAGTACATACCATATGCAATTATGGCCCAATTCACGATACAGAAATTCATATTACACATTCACACTATACAATTATCCAGCAGTGCACATTTTCTGTTTCATTTATCCCTAAAAAGTCATTATCTGTTGAATCTTGTCTCTCATTTCAGTTTCCATGTTAAACAGTTCCCATTTACTACAGATATTTTTGTATTGATTCTCATCCTATATTCTTGATATGTAAGAAATTTTACAATTAATGTAGCATTTCTATTCCTCTCAACACTTCACGTACATACATATATTATCTGTATACTCACGTGTCTCCATTGCAGGATAAACCTGAGTCTCACTTCCCGAATCGCTCTCCTCTGGGTTTCCGAGGTTTTCGGTTCTACAAGTTTCTTCCCAGTAGAGTGTATTTTGACAAGTTTCTCCCACACGGGGCCAAAATACAAGGTGAGTCTTCTCGGACATGCAGAAACGTGCGTTGCATGCCAAGTGCATGTAAGCAGGAAGCCATACAACTTGCAGTGAACCACAGCATGTAACATAACCCTCCAGCCAAGGCTAGCAGGAACTGAGGTGTTTTTATATAACAAGCTGTATTTATATGACACTGTCGTTATTGTTACTATCAGAGAAGAAATAGTTACAAAATTTTGTACGTGTACATGCCCATGCATACATTTGTTTGAGAAATGAGCTTGAATATAAATGTATCCTTACTTTTAAGCAAGCAGATTAAATTATCATTCTGTATGTATGAAGCACGTTTCTACACACCCTGCTACCTTCTCTAAAATTAAACAGCTTATGTGTGGTAAATCTTTTATTTCACATCATGTAAAAGACTCCATTTAAACTCCATAATCGAGTATAACATGTATATTATAGAATACATTCTACATTTTACAGAAACAGGCATTTTGTCACTTAACTGCAACCATATTTACAATGCACAATTGTGTAAGAAAATATCACCAAAAGTTTACAACCTCTGTTTATTTCTAAACAGGTATTTTAGTTTATATAAGTTTTAAGTATTTCCAGGTATTTTTTCTCCATGTACTACTAGCAATAAGCTTCTCAAGCCATTTCCCAGGTGTACCTCAAACAGAGAATCAAAACCTACTCTCAAAGTAAAATATTTGGTGTTCATCTTTTGTCCCTGCGGGCCCTGAATGCCCTTATTCATCTCACATATTTACATTACAAGGATATTCCCTTCTTAACCATTATTAGCATATCAGATACACCTGAGACTCACCCACAGCATTGCCAACTGTTTGCCCACTGGGGTATGATGGAAAAGAAGCAACAATGCTACCACTCTCCTAACCTTACATTCTTACAAAAGAGAAATTTTGTGAGGCACTGTATAGGTCTACTTCAGTGTGTATAATAATGAATTACAAAATTATACTCAGAAATCTTTCACTACATTTTAAAGATCCTTTACTTTCAAGAGTAAGAACATAGTTTTAAACTTTTCTTTCGTCAGATGACATCACATTATTGTTGGACGCAAATTTTGGACATATAACAGCAATTGTAGCACTATCTTATATGTCAATCAAATATTGATAATGAAAATTTAAAATTATATTTGAAGTAAAATTTTCTAAATAATGCCTCTATTCTTAACAGTACAACAATACATTCTCAGTCAATCAAGCAGGCAGGCAGTCTGTAAGCGTCAGCTTCATTGATGGACGTGTCTTCTAAGCACCAAGATTTATCATCCAATTATACATCATCACAGTTCTTGCTGCCTCTTTTCCCCGTTTCATTAATCACAGAAAGTTACAGTTGTTTGCTTTTGTACAAGTTTACAAGCACAACTCATTCTTCGTAACAGAACCACGAAAGGCCTATACTCTGCTTAAAGAGATTAATGTGAAAATTAAATTGGATGGGAAGATCCACATAAAAAAAACCATTAAAAATAATTGTTGGACATACAGTGATTCTCCATTAAACAACAGAATCCTGGACAAATAAAGACAAACATATATTTTTACATAGATACAAATATGTTCCACAGATTTCTTTTAATATTACAACAGAACCAGCACTTGGAAGTATTCTGATACAATCAAAATCTAAACTTCGCTAAATATTTAACTAGCATACTTTACCAGCTCAGATATGAAGACTGAAGACACGTTTCTTCATTTATTATTGTACAAACGATGGGTAGTGACAGACACGGCTTCAGAGCGGACCGGCCAATAAATGCGAGCGCGGTCCCAGGCTCAGGTCTCTAACGAGTGTTCCGATGTCGCTCGATACTTCAAAATGCTCATTCTGATTCGATAACATATATTACAGATACCAAACAGTTGTACACACAGTTTAATACAAGCAACCATCCATTAACTTGATATAATATTGGAAAATGAAGGACAACCTGTCACAGTAATAGCGAATAAGTACGTCATCTGATGGCAAACATGACTTGTACTTTCCGGCTCAGTAAACTGCTGATAACATTTATCAATCCCTACAAGAAGGAGTGTTCAAATTTTGACACTGGAAATAGAAACAGATTTTAAAAACATAGAAAGAACAATGAATGACATTTTAGTATGACAGAGCTCTCTGTTTCACCGTCATCATCTTAATCTTTTTCGTCATCACAATATTGGGGAATCATCCCCACTTTACCACGCACCCTTAATCAAAATATACAGTATTTTGGTGGAATATGATAATGGTACCTTACACCTAGGCCCTAAATATGCTATTATTAACAAAATAAATAACTTACAAGACTACACACATATTCGTATAGATTTGTGGACATTCAAATATATACCTTACAATTCACTGATAACTTCACCTTCCAAACAAAATGGAATTATTGGTGTAAACTTGCAGGGTAACAAATCCAGGAGAAATCACCGCCCCGTATGATTGTGTTGCTTGGTTTCAAAGAGGATTTATCAACCTGCTTCAAAGATTTCTCTTGGATTAGTCATTAATTTATAACAAATAATCCCAAAACTGTTTGTGAAGTGTCAATCCACTTGTGTAGCGTATATTATCATTCCTGGAGCATAATTAGACCACAGTTCCTGTAACACAGCAGCACCTCACTGGATCTTCCAACCCCAAGTTTAGTCCCAGCACCAAGTCAAACACTTACAAAAATAAAGTTCTTTCTTTTTTTTTATTATTTTTTTTATTTGTTTCTTTTGTTTTTGCCAGTTCCTGAGATCTTTTCAAAATAAAAAAAGAAATAATTTGAAGCAAAATATTATTCTTTGTTTTTTTATTCGTTGAAAACATCGTTTAACCTGGAGTGTCCCACGAATATAACGATAATTGCACTCACTTTCCATCGCACAAGGCACACACTGAGAGTTAGCTGGTGCCACCTGGTGACTCGATATGTACAAATAAATCTGCAGGTCACGCTCCTGTGCAGTCTATCTCGACAATGTCCTTGGGCACATCTACAAACTGGTACACCAATCTCTGCCCGTCCACCTTGGCCAGAATGCCACGCTGATAATAATACCTGCAACATTTAAGTCCGCAGAATGTGAATACATGGACCTGACAGAAGGGAAGCAAAAAGAGGATGGGGAAAGATGCATAATGAGGAGATTCATCGAATAACATGAGAGTGGCGTGACATGCAACATGTATGGGGAGATACAAAACTTTAGTCGATAAACCGGAAAACAAAATTTCACTTAGAAAATCTAGGCAAAGTAACATTGCAATTTATGAAGATTTCTGTCTTCTGGGTTGTTGCGCTGTGTAGTCTGGTCAATGTTTACCAACGTTTCAGAGGTCATACTGCCTCTGTCATCAGGGCAAAATCTTCATACTCACCGCTGTGAAAACCTCAAATCTTACATTGCAATTTATGTTCAAGAAAATTACTGTGAGGCTGTACACTGGATTCATCTGGCTCAAGGATAGGGTTCAATTATGGGGTCTTGTGAATACAGTAACAATGCTTCAAGTTTCAAGAATGTCACCTATTTAACAAAGCCACCGAACCAGTCTAGAGGAGCTTAAAGATGGAATCACACTCCACTGGAAAGGCTGGTGCAAGTATGGCAGGAACTGGATTACCGTGTGGAGGTGTGACGACCAACAAGAGCATACAGGCTGAACTTGTATTGCCATAATAATACAAAACAAAGGTTTGAGAGGTGAGGACAACAATGTAGCTCGTTTCATTTCTAATCTAAAGTAGTGATTTAAATTCAGCATTTATTTTTGTCCATTCTGTATTAAATTTTAAAAAAAAAAATTACTTTCATGTCATGAATCTAATTCCATGCATTACAATCAACATTTAATAATAAAATGGTGCATCATTCAACAGATTATTCAAAATAAATTATGACACTGCTGCTTTTCATCATGTGATGTAAATAGGTGAAGAAACGAGGAAAATAAGAAGGCTAGTTCTTCTTGGATGATTTCTAAGTACTATGCCTCAACTTGTCCTCACTTAATGGTACCTGCACCTTGTCGTGGTGGTGGGGCTTGAGTACCTCAGTGACCCCAAGAGCTACTGGTAGGGCCTCCCTAGTCAGATTGGTCGAGGGGGAGAGGTCAGACTAAGACAGGTACCCTGGTCCTCCAGGTTGGGGGTTGGTCGCAAGGCTAACAACCTTGCACCGTGAAAAGGAAGATTTTTCAAAACCTTAATCAAAGCCTCGGACACAGACCTAACAGAGGACCGAATGGAAGAGGAGAATTGAGGAGGCCATGGACCGAATACGGACTGGAGAGCCATAGAAGAAGAAGAAGAAGAAGATGCCTCAACTTGTACACTACATATGTTGTAAATGTTAGTCTTCTGGGTTGTAAATCTGCATCAGTGTGTAGCTATATAACATTTTGGAGGAAACATACTGCATTCATCTTCAACCCAGATAGCCGACATCCACAGCTTCACTACCGAGGACCTCGTATCTCGTAAGTGCATATTTATTAGGGACATAAACACCTATTAGAACCAATCAATGACTGACAATCGAAAGCCTTACCTAAGTGCCCGGCCCATTGTCTCATAGTTCATGTCAGGTTTGTTTTTGTGCAGCCCCCACAGGCGAGACACGGCTTTAGAATCGACCAACTTGAAGACTCCTTTCTCCCGATTGGTCCACTTGATATAACGGGGGCAGTAGTCTCTGTCTTGCAGCAGTTTCAGCAAGAACTCCCACAGGTACGTTGTCGAGCCTGCAGACACATTGCAACACACGTCAGCTTCTGGACATACACGGCAACAGAAATGCCATTTACTGTTCCAGCACTTAAATATTCCAAAGACTGTACGGAACATCTGTGCGTCCGTGGCTTCTGGTTAAAAGTTGTTATTAATTTACTTATTACAAGTTACTATGTGGGTGCTGTCAATAATTCAGACTATATAGCATATAGTAGACTGATTAATTAATAATAAATTGGATAAGGAAGCAGTCATGACCTCCTGGAGAGACTGAGGGAAAAAAAGAGAAAAAACCTTGGTCAAGATATTCAGACTCGAAGCTAAGCCTGAAGACTCCTGACTACACAGCAGGACTGCTAACCATTTGACCACAATTGTCAGTGATTAGTGATTTTGTCTTACGTCTAATTAAAGGTTTTACTTCTGTTTATCAATCAGTGATGTGGACCTGTGACAACCTGTGGCTTACATTATGCCAATATGTAAATTCTATTCAGCATTATAATAATAATCCGTGGCCTAACAGCCCTCTGAGAGCCAAAGCCGACTAGCTGGCTGCTGGCCTCACATTCACATGCCTAAGCAGAGGTGAACGATCATCCAACCAGATATAGGGTGACGTGTGGTCAGCACGACGAACCCCCAGCCATTGCTAGTTTTCCTGACCCGATTACGCTACTCATTGTAGCTCCTCAATTTCCTCACGATGCTGGGTTGGCACCGGTCCCATACACTGGTCGAAAGCTCATGAGAAATTTCTTTCCCCGAGACTCGAACCAGCGTGCATTCCGTATCGCCGGTCCGAAGCATGATGCCTCAGACCGCGCGGCTACGGCTCGGGACTCTAGTAAGCATTACACTGTATTAATTTTATCCCAAATTGAAAACTACTACTCTGCACCTTCTCTACTGTTACTTTCTTAACTCTCGCTTTGCTTTGTGATGTATGCTGGTGCGACTGGCACAGCTGTGAGAAAGGAGACGCAGAATTTTGGAACTAATACAAATACCAAATCTTTGAAAGACGGATACATCAGAAAACTCACACAACTTTATCCACAATTTGACTGTGAATATTCCACAAGAGTGATTACGATGTATATCGGGTTTCAATACAAAATAAATATTTTGATTTTTATAGTATACATAAACTTGTTTAGAAGTGTTATTGGAGCAATGTGAGACAGACAATCCACTGCTGTTTTGTTCTTCTGCGGGTCAGAAAACACCAAGAATCAGTGTTTCACCTTTCAATATCTAAATAAATATAACACTTCAGACGAATGTCTAACTAAATACAGAACGCAAGTTAATTTCAAAACCGATTCTAAAATCTACCCATCAATGGAAAACATGATGGAACACAGACATTACCAGTTCCCAGAAATCTCACCTTCACGACTCTTCCTCTTGGCGGTGCCAGGTTCTCCGCTCTTTGGCTTCTTCATCTTCTTCTTGGTGCGTGGTGGGAAGCCTATATCCAGCATGTACAGATCATCGCTCACACTGGAAGTGGCGGCCTGGATTACGGGCGTCGGGATGGCGGGTGGGGCGGCGAATTGTTGGGGTGCCATCTGATGGTGGTATGCCTGTTGCTGCTGGTGGTGGGATGGGGGAGGCAGGTACCCACTGTAGCCATCAGGAACTGAAAGTAATGACAGTAGGCAATAAGATCACGCTCCAAACATCGTCACTACCAGGGAAACAGGAGAACAGGGTCCCACTTCTGTTATTGCATTGCAATTGAAGAGGATAAATATGAATGGTTAAGCCACACAATTCTTTGTATAGTACATAAATCTGCTCGTTCAACCAAAACGGACATGTTTTTTATAGTAAGTTATGAAAAATCTCTCATTGCTTATGTAGTTTAGCCAGGTAATGCCAATTCGTGATTTGTTGTGGTTTTGGTGAGCAATGGGGAAGCTGTCTTAAAACCAGTCGATACAGGAGCACAATTTCATCCCCACCACTCTTGCAATGCAATCCAGATGTTCCCCATGAAACAGCACAATTAGTCGGAACGTGATAAACAGCAGCTGGATATAGTTCGTGATGTCATACTTGGTTGGTTTTCAGTACATAACAACGCCTTGACACTGCGGCAACTTCTCTGCTTCGTGTGTACTGTGGGATGCATCCTAATGCAAGTCCAGGATTTTACAGCATTTCCCGTTAAGTACATGCCCAAAAGGAAAATGTTATTTAGTAAAATACACAGAAATACGAAGAAGAAAAATTTGTTGCAAATTAATATCTGCAACTATCTACTGTGTAGTTTTAAGACACTGTTATCAGTACCCAAAATGTTGCTACTAGATTTTTGGAAACGGAATGCCAACCAACGTTACAGTCTACAACTTCCTAACGGCCAAAAGCAATAAGTGTTCTGCATGGACATATCCTGGCTTTCCCAGTATTTCGAAACAAACTGAGAACCCTGAAAGTGATCCCGCCCCCCATGGAAGTGAAGCTGTAAATAAATTAAATCTTTCACTTATGGCGATTTTCATCATTTGGTTGGTCCAACAAAATTCTTAAACTTATATCACAATCAAATATATTCTTGTGGTAAGTGGCGAATTCAGTTGGACAGAAAAATTATGGGCAGTGAGATGATACAAGTTTAAACTGTTCACAAATTTTGTCCAGCACCGCACCGCGACAGTCAGCTATTTTTAAACTGCCTGGCTGACATGGTCAAGTAGATGAATTGCTGTTACTTCAACAGCAATTCATATGGTCATGGTCGATGTCGGTACGAAAGCCAATTGAAATGCAAATAAAAACCTGTAGGCTACTCCAATCTGGAACTCACGGGGTTTTCAAATATATTCTTTGCGACTTTACAAAATGATATGTGTATGGCCTTGATATTCATTTATCGTAGGTGATCGTATTTACTGCAGATATGAAACCAATGCACGAGGTTTAATCACACTGCGCACTCAGCAGTAATTTCTTTCCTGGTATTTCCTTAAACAAGCATATATCGAAAAATGTTTCAGACACAAACTCTCGGTCTCAACGCGGCGTAAATACGGTGTATACTGTACACCACACTAAAATCTTTTGTACGATATGCTAGTTTTTTAAAAATCGATTTCGAATGCAGCTTCATCAAAGTTAGGAACCAAAAATAGATAGGCCCAACAAATGTGTTAACTATCAATGCCAAATTTTATTGAAAACAGCCAAGTAGTTTCGAAGATAAAAAATGGACAGGGTATCATCTATCCATTGTGCTTTCATCTAATGCACTTTTCTAAAGCCTCATAATATATTAAACATTATGTACCACTATGCTGCACATTTTAAAAATAATAATAAATAATACCGCAGACTGGCTGATGGTGTTTCTAATTGAGGGGGCCATACTCACTGTACACAGATACAAACGAGCAGATAACAGTACTTAAAAAAATAGATTTTGGCATTAACTTCAGACGCCACAACTACAATTGCCTGTTTCTTGTTCAGAGGTTAAAAAGTCAATAGTCACAATCCTTTTGTTTTGAGGTATCCATCCAATGAATTCAAAGCTTGGCGAGTAGAACTTGGCAGGATTGCCCCCAGACCACCACCAATACCCTAGGAGGCCTCCGCGTACAGATTAAACTGGTCGATGGAGCGCAGCCTTGAAAGCGGTCAGTACCTCACCATTAGCTTGTCAGTTCGACCGCTACGCAACAGATGGTGCTGGCATCATCACGCTTCCGCATAATTCACCATGAAAATACGTGCAAATATTATATTACTTTTAACAAGCCGCCGGCCATGCTTATTCCAGCACGGGATTTCACTTTCTGAGGAGGCAATTTCTTCTTGAAACAACATATACTTCGTTTCTGTTGTACTCGTCCAACCAAACTTCCGGTCTTTCATCACCTGGGAATTAGGGATGTACGCGTTAACGTCCAACAGACCACAGAGACTCGCTGGGGCGGTGGGACTTCATATTGTTTGTAAGACATTTTGTTCTACTAGCCTCTGAGGTGTGCTTCAAAGAAAACTAACGAATCCTTCGAAAACACATCAAAGTTAAAGCTACAGCAGCAACAGATTAAAATTAAGATAGGCAAAACATGTAGCACACATGGTGAGCTGAGAAGTGCATACAGGATTTCAGTCTGGGAACACCAAAGGAAGAGTCCACTTCAGCGACGGAAGCATATACAGGACGACAGTCTAAAAGAAATTGCCACAAACCAATGTAGAAGTTGACAGTAACTCAGTCTATCGAGAAATTCCCTTCGCTTGAAGAACCGGAAGGTTTATTACTGTTTCACAAAAACATGCCACTTATGCCTAGTCCATGTTCCACCATCTTATAACCCCAAAGATCAACTTTAATAATATTCTCCCATCTTCATTTCCCAAAGTCTCTTCCCTTGATGTTTTCCAAATAAAATGTTTCTCGTATCGCCCACGCGTGTTATGTCTCTCACCCAGCAAATGCTCTTTGATTTAATCGCCGTACAGGGGAGTAGACCTTGCTTGCTATTTTCTCCATTCTATAGTTACTTTCTCTTCTTCGATCCAAATACTCTCAATTAATGTACTTCCACTAAGGCGAATGATCTAGTTTCACACATAAAAAACTGATAAAATTACTGTTTTGAACGCTGTAGGGCCAAACTTAGAGTAACCGTTTTGTCAAGTAAGGGAGATGATAAGAATGTTAACAGCACCCACTTAATCTGCTCCTAATTTTATTGTATAACGACAACGGCGATTGTGGTGATGATAATAATAATGTACAGCATTTGTTTTGTGATGCCCTGTATCTTAAAACTGAAAACTTCGAAATGTGTCATAATTATTTCTTAACATGCTCATATTTACGATAATTAAATGAAAGCTTTCACAGCCAAATGTTCCTCTTGTAATCTGGAAACCAGGAAAACAACAGAAAAACCACAATCCAGCAACAGAAACAAAAAAGAGACGGAGAGGAAGTTGTTCCGTGTGTAAGTTTGAATTCTGACGCTTTTTTACGTCGTTGTGGGCGAGGCTCTTCTATTTCTGTTGCGCGCGCAATGATGCAGCGGTTCAAGGTCGCGGAGACCGGTGTCAGTGGTCGCAGCTCTCGGTTTTGCAGAGCACTGCTGCTCCTGCTGCAACCATTTCCGCCCGGGCGCAACTAACAGGTGGTCCTATCAAATTACTGCCAGTCGATATCCATCACTTTGATTTGTTTTGTTTATTTGTAACGTCTACAGTCGCATTAAAGCGACGACAAAACATGGCATAGGAAGTCAATGACGTCACTGTTCTCTCCACACATTTAGAAGTCGTTAGCAGCCAATTACTTTGCATTACAAATGTTTTACAGGCCTGCAAAATGCGCGTATTTGAAATGTCTGTCTGGAGGGAGTTTCTTAAATGGGCCGCTACAAAAGGGCATAATTATGTGCTTCAAATTGTATAACTTTTTCTTAATGAATTAGCCCATTGTACGGGAAATTTTGACGGAATGTTTTATGTGCGATCATTTTATCGGTAAATTACAAAAATCAGCAGTACGTTGTTATCAAATCCTTCAAAAATTATTTAGACAATGTTCCGAGTAGGGGACCGCAGCAAATTTTTTTTGAGAATACCATTATTCAATAGGTAGTGAAAAGTAGAAAGTGTTATATCGTATTCCGAGAATAATTTCAACGACTGCAGAACGGAAAATACCACAATCTGTCCGCCAGCACCAATAATGTTGCTTTAATATCTGTCGGAAAGTCTATATGATGAATAAAGAAATACATTCTTGTAATTTCTTTTAAGTCGCATCTTTCAGGTTAACACGCAATAAATTCGACGACGTGCACATTAAAATACTTGTTGTATTTCCCTCTCAGACAGCGTGCTATGAACCAGGTCTCGACGAAAATTCTGATATAAGAGAACGGGACATTTAAAACCAGAATTAGTGACTTATGTGCAGCTGGATTCCTGGAGCGGTCCATAGAGTCATAACAAGTACGCAATAGAACGCCGTGTTTCGACAGTACAATATGGAGGCACAGGAAGTGAAAGCTGGAAACACTTGCATAATAACGTCTGTCTAACCCAATCACCTGATTTTGGATTGCGTCCCACCATAATAATATCATCTCGCTCTACTTACCGCTTTCTATTCGTGTCGCGAGCACGCAGTACTTATCTGGCTCATCACGCCATCTGTAAGTTAATGTGAAGGTCAGCCGTCCTTCCGTCCATTTCCTGGTCATTGGCATCTGCATGCGTCACACAGCCAGCCAGGGGACAAAGAGGACGCCGGAGAGAGTGAGAGGAGACGAGCTCAAGGTAACTGGTTGCGCGCGGTGATGTCACTCAACATCTCGCTGCATGATACATGCAAGAATCGAGCAAGGCAGTAACCAGGAGGAGGGGGGATTATTCCCCGCCTCCTGCAGAAGTACCAAGATGTGATTAGCTGACAAAGTTTCGTTTAAGAAGAGGCCAATGTCAACAGCACAGATCGCTTCTGAACGTTTGTAATGCGCCCTATTTCCTCAATTTTAAGACGCAGTCTGCTACAAAACTGTATTTTCACGAAAAGGACGCTGTATCGATTCTTTGAAGCCATCAAATGTAAGACGCACCAAGACTTCAGAATTTTTAAAAATGTGAAAAGTGTGAGTCAAA